TGACGTTGAGCCGGTAAAGGCATAAACGACGGACGATCGCATGTAGCGAGGCTGCAACTGTCGATAAGCGCCGCGATTTTCAGACTGTTGCAACCAATCTTGAGATTCAGCAGTCATCATGAATTGGATGTGTATCCGTAGGGAGATTGTATGTTGAAAGCTTTGGTTTGCAGTCATTTACATGATGATAGAACCGCAAGCCCGTCATCATGATTATTGACAGACGCGTTCGCATGATATCCAATTTAGGACTCATTTTGAGCAGGTTGATGGCAGAGGACGACCCAGACGTCTAGGATCAAGCTGATGATGGAGGTGGTGTGGGTTGCGGGGGTTGACCATGGGTAAGACAGTGTGGGTGGGATGGCTGCCTTCTAGCTGTCGTTGATTGATCAAATTGGGCATGACTGTGCATGGACAAGGATCCTCACGAGAGGGTGTGCAAGGGTCGCGGAGGCACGGGAAGTCTCTCCTTCTGCGTGGTGCGCACCCCTATGTCAGGCACATCCGCCGGCATGTACAGATGCAGAGAGAGAAGCGGGCTCGGAACCTGCAGAGACGAGCAGAGAGCGCCGAGAAGCTAGTTGTGATTTTGAAAGTCAGGGAACCGGTTCGGATGGACCTTTGACTTTTCGAGTACACCAAGGGGTTCCCAGCTATTCGGAGCACAAACCAGGCGGTCTCTGAAGGCTTCACCCTGTCCACGAACTTGAGAAGCCGTCGAAGGCAATGAAAAACGGTGAGTGGCCAGTACAAGCGAAGAGGATTAACACCGAATATTTTGGTGTCATGCTGTGTGCTTCTGGTGACCTCACCGATGGCCGACCGATTTGTAGGACAAGGGTTTGAGTGGTCAATGAAGCAAGTCTAAAGCACCACTCAAGTTGTTGTGGTGGTTTAAAGAGCTCTGAGAGGTTCGATGACTAGGCGCCAGAGGACCAACCAGAGGCCATCTGCGCTGGTGTGCCATGCCGTGACTGGACTGCTTGGCTTGCCGCGCCGTGGTGATATTACTTCACTTAGCCTGGAGCCACACTGTAGTGTGACGACTTCTTGTAGAATGCCAGTAGTCTCGTTGGCTGTTTGAGTTGGAGCCTGGCGCGTTGGGGACGAGTAGAGTGCCGAGACCTGGGGTCGCAGATGAACGCCGTCGACATTCGCAGTAGTGAGGGCCGTCCGAGATGATCATGCAGAGTGATGGTCAACCGGCGGTCTACCCCATGAGATGCAAATACGGGCTTTGACGCCATTCCATTTGCTGTAGTTTGACATGGACTCTGCGATCGAAAGCGGCTGGGAAATTGAAATGGCGGGGCTCTCTCCTTCGCAGGCAGTTTAGGTTCGCCAACCCGTGTCCGTCATGTCTGCTAAGGCAGCGTTTGCAGCTCTGGCTGGACAGTCTTCAACTCAAGCGAAATAGACATTGTGGCTTCAGCACCTGGATCTACCCGCAAGAAACTGTTTTCAACGGACTGTGAATGGAGTGACGAGCACCGCCAAAGGTTGTGATCCAAGGTCGGAATGGCGTTTCTTGAGCGCTTGCTAGCTACCAATCTGGCCGGTATGCCAATGGTATTCTCCCCAGCTGCTAAGACTAGCTTCAACGGCTCCGGCGTCTCGGACGTTGACTAGAAAATGAAAAATTCTCAAGGCGACGTGGCTCATTCTTTCTTCTCCGAGTTGGAGACTGCCCGCCGTTTTTGGTTTCTTTTCTTGTCGTCGAGAGGACCCTGACTCTCTAGGGCCCTGTAACTAGCGGGGGGTTTTCCAGTTTGCCGCTTTTTTTCCAGCTGGGCACACGACGTAATGGACAGGGCGTTGCTCAGCCCTAAAGTCGGTTCGGTGCTGCTTTTCCCTTTAGGTGCCACAGCTTTGCCAGCCTAGGGGGGCCTTGCCTTGTCTTCGGCTCTCCCAAATGGCCAAGCCCCATGTTGACAGATGTATTTTCGCCGCAGGCCGCAATGCAGAGTCCACGATAGTGGACCAGCGTGGCGAGCACTCGTCAACCTGTTGCGTTTATTTCGGTCGGAATAGAACAAGGCATGAGTTGTACGAAGTATGACTGGCGTTATTCGTGTCTTCTTGAAAGCCTGTGCCCCACGAGAAGCACGCCCTCGGCACTTCTCAGCGTGTCCAAAAGGCTGGGATTTCTATGGCTTGCCTTCAGCTGACTAGCTAGCGCCAGCAAGCCACGCATCTCAGCGGGACGATTTATTAGCCACCGTTGAAACGCTCGGCCGCGCACCAAGCAGCGGGAAAGTTTAGTTGAGTAGAAAAATTGTGAAGCGTGGAGAGCAAAAGTATCCGTAGAATCGAGCTTGACTGGAAATGCTCCGGAAGAAAAGCGGCCGGCGAAGCGTCGTGCCTCGGTCCTGCGATGCCCAGGATAGGAGTGAGACATGCAGATGCATTGCGACGCGGGATACGTCAATCAGAGACATTCTGTTGGTGGTGTCTCGCTCGCTGCCGTGCCGAGGATGTACGATTTTTCTGGTCGATGATGAGGGCGAGGGATCTGAGTCAACTGGCGGTCGGCGGTGCATCCGATGTGCGCCACACGAGACAGAATCATAGCTGGCCGTAATAAGCCCCCAAGCATGAACGGTTGGTAGAGGCTGAAGTGGGATTGGTGGGACGCGGCGAAGTCGAAAATGGTCCGGTGACGACAGTCGACATGGTTCACTGGAGGCCGTCGGTGTCGAAGGACGACGTGGGTAGCAATTCGCTTGACAGCGTCGAAGAGGATCTGCCGAACGTTGGCTAGCGGGGAGGTCGAGTTGAAGTTAAGTTTAAGGTAGGTCGAGATGGAGGTCGCAAGTGAGGGCACGAGTGACGAGAGGGAGACGGGATGTCGTTGAGGTGAGGTGGGTGGCCGGTAGCCCGCGACGGCGACCAAAGCGGCAAGAGCCACGCGACAGTTGGACTACCTACTTTAGTAGGAGGAAGGAGGAAGGAGCAACAAGCCCACGCCACACCTTTGCAAACATTCACACTTTCACGCCTTCCTAGTGTAGCGGGATAAGTACGTATAATTCTACCTTACCTTAGTCAAGTTGCCTGCCCGCAGCATCTATCTCAACCAGAGATATTGGCCTTTACTGGATTGTGACAGGTCGACCGTGGGAACCAAGTCTTTGCAACTCTGGTTCTTACTGGGGCGGCCACGGGCCAGAACTCACGAGTAACCATGACTGAAAGCAGCTTGGACCACCTCGAGACAGGGGCAGCTTGATTCTGTGCCTCTCGCATGATGAAAGTCGTTAATGAAAGAGAAATAGCAGGTCCAGACAACGAGCCAACCGACGTCAGATATCGAGTATTGCTGTTGTTGGAGCGGGTTTGCCAGACTGGGGAACATTTTCAGCAGAAGACTCGACACGGGCTATGAGCGTTGTGACTGGTGAGGCATTAGCGGGCAACTGCTGGAGTGCGCCGGGCGTCGATCCACTGAATACCCTCGTCGAGGCCTGCCAGCGACGTTCAGTGGTCCTTGGGAATAGCGGGGCCAACTCCAGAGCCCACGATGCACTCAAAAAGTGAAGGCCGGTCAAGGGGTGTCCACTATGTCCTGTCCGTAAGGTACGGAGTCTGCACTAAAAGTCGAAATTCCCGGCCACACGACAGCCCGGCTAAGTCGAGGACGTGGACCCCCGGCCGCCGGAGAGAGAGACCCACTTGCATCGCCGCACCCCCCGGTCATCCAATTCGCACCCCCTTCACACTCACACAGTTCAACCCCTCCATGTTCAGCCGTCCACCCTCCAGTCTCCTCCTCCTCCTCCTTCCACATCGAAATCGACCCTCAGCGTCCCTTTTTTCCCCCTCTGCATTCCGTGCCTCCCCCCTTCCCTTCCCGGTCCCTGGTCTGACATCCACCCTCCTTCTCCACCCGCCGTCCTCCTCCTCACTTCCGTCCATCAATCACTCCTCAATCCATCCTTCTGTGCCTCTTTCTCTATGCACCATCCTGGGACTGGTCCATCAAAATTCATCCTTCCTTTCCACCCAGCACCTTAGTTTCCTGAACCGACCCCCCTGCCTTGAAGATTGTCGCCTCCCCCAATGAGGCGCGCCGTCTTCCATGCATCGCCTCACGCGAAGCACAGAGAGAGAGAGAGAGACCTCGACAGTATTTTCCTACAACGACGCCCTTGTCCTCATCGCCGACCATCTCCCCCATTGGCCCTTGTCCGCTCCCAACAGCCCATGTTAGTCCCAGAATGGACATCCCATCACACACACAAAATACCCGTTCCCGAGTCTTGCCTGGTCCATGGAGTCTTCGTACCCCGGCATCTTCTGGCCTGGACCCTGGCTTCAGCGCTGCCACTGGTTGAACAAGCCCGGCCACAAGGGCCGCCGAGAGAGAGACGCAGACGCAGAAGCAGACCAGAGAAACACCCACCCGCTTTGCAGGAATCTACGCACTTAGTCTGCGCGTCGATGTACATAATAGAGTCCCACCCTCCTTCGTCCTGCCTTCGTGCCCTCTGAGATGCTTCCGGCTTCTTCGTCGTTGCTCCCGCTCGAGTCTCTCCTTGATACCACGAGTTAGTCGCGTCTAACACACCCCGCTGTGACTTCCACTCGCGGACCATGACGGTATCAACCTAACCAGCCGCCTCTGACGCCGCCTACGCTCCGACCCGACTTACACGTCGTATTGCTCCCGTCGTCACCTGGACATATTGACAGCAACTTCGACACGAGTCCCTATCGCAACTTGGCCTTCAGCAGGACTGAGGACGTCTCTTGGAGGATTTAGGAAGACGTTCCTCTTCAACATCACCCGATAGAGCTCGGCGCTAGCTCCGACTCTTTCTTCACCCTACGGCACTTTCCTTCGTCAAAGACTCGCTGGCACCTTTCGACGGTCAGTGCGAGATATCACTCAAGGGTACATCTCCTAAATCGGGAAACGAACGGGAAATACATTGGAAATACAACCATATCATCGGTGTATAGAAGCTCGTGGTCCCTTCCAACGACCTAATCGACGACTGCTCTTCTCCTACCCGATCATGGCGGACAACCAGGCCCTGGCCGGGTTAGACTGCTTTCCACCTTTCATCTCATCGAGCTTGTTCCCAGTCGATGAAGGGTGTAAGTGCCTCGAAAACAAGTTGACCTTGTCCAAGCTATTGACTCTCGACAGTTATCGATGGCAGACTTTGCCAAAATCTCACAGCGACTTTGCAATGCTGCTTGCCCTGTCCACTAACGGACTGGGTCTACCCCGAATACTTCAACACTCTGACGACAGCGGCCAACTGGGTCTGTGTCGCAAGTGCGGCAGGATGTCTCTTCCTCCTCCTCTCCTGGGCCTTCCTTCCCGTGGATAAGACATATAGACACTACCTCAGTATTTGCCTAACCATCGCCGTTTTCATCATGAACGTGAGTTATCCTCTACACGGACGTGCAGATATGGAAGTCTGACAATGACAGCTTGGCTTCGTCGTTCCTCTCGCTGCTGAACCGCAGCAATGCTATAATGATATCACACCACACAGCATGAAGTCGAGCAAAGTCTGCGGCGCCTCTGGTGCTTTCCTCCTGCTTGGAGGTTGGGCTGGTGTCATGTGGGTCTTCTTGCGGTCTTTGTCTCTGCACCTGCAGATCTGTTGGCAAGTCGTCGTTGGCCGAAACTTCATGATGTTTGCTCAGGCCACTGGCTGGGGCATTCCCATCATCGGCATCGTTGTCGCTCTCGTCTTCAGCGGCGTGTCATTCCGGTTCGGCGCCACATGCCATATCAACCATAAGAACAGTCTTGCCGATTTCTGGATCCCTCTCCTCGTCTTTGCCGGCCTCACAGTCATCATCCAGTTCGCTACATTTGGATACTGCATCAAGGTCTACCTCGCCTCTCTGGCGGACAACAGTGCCTCCACGGAGGGTTCCAGCCTTCCTCAATACTCTCAGAGCATCCGGACTATGACACCGCGCCAAGCATACCGACGAGTTCGGCGCGTCATCTCTCTGCAGTGGAGAGGCATCGCCATCGTTCTGATCATCATCGCCGACGTTATCTTCTTCTCTGTTGTTTTCGTCTTCCAGGACAACACCGTCCAGGCTGTGCACGAGGACCAGAGCATCGCCGCAGACTGGATTACCTGCCTCGTGGTCAACAAGGGCAACAGGACCAAGTGCTACGACAAGGCCAAGGCAATCGTGGTCAACGAGGCAACGATTACTGCCGTCTTGATTCTGCTTGCGGTAAGAAGTGCTCAATGACCCCGGCACCTCGAAAGATGACGTGACTGATTCGATTCTAGATGAACGGCATCTGGCTGCTCTTCCTCCTGGGCCGTTGGGCTATGGTCCTCGGCTGGATTGATATGTTCTCCTCGTTCCGGGGTAGAAACAAGAAGGAATTCGTGTCGGTGGATGCCCGATACGACGTCAAGAAAGATACCCGTGCGTACGAGATGCTGTCGAGAGACTCGAGCGCTGTTGTAACACCAGTTTCCCCAGTCAAATCACCCGTTGTAAGTCCCAACAGCGGACGAAGAACCCCCGACTACTTTGGGCAGACGGCCCGTTATCAGCCGCCAATGCGGTCCTTCTCAAGTCCCCGGCCGCCACAAACACCACCCACTTGGGATGCGCGAGCGACATATGCTCGGCCCGAGTCGCGAGCCCGACCAGATGGGTTCGAAGACATGAACCCACTTGGGATGAACAGGATATAATGGGACGACGACGTGCGTCGGAGACCATGGAACGAAAGAAGGAAGAAAAGTAAAACCTAAAAGGAAAAAAAAAACGAAGAAAGATTAGGCCAAGGATAACTATCCATGCCACCCACAACCTCCCCCATGGCCCCGGTAACCAAAAAAGATGGTTCGCATTTATCGACCGAAGCATCTGGATCCCATATGCTGGCTTTTAATATCAGCGGACTGACCAAGATGATGTAATGTGGAGGAATAGTCGGCCTTAATGGCCCTGTCAAATATTTCATGAAAAACCAACCATGTACTACCAGCGTCGGCGTCTCGGACTTGTTTAGGCCGCGAAAGGACGGGTATAATACCCACAAATTAAAGAATATGTATCTTAGAGGAAGGTCGGGGGCGTGACCAAGGGAACGGCCGGAGCCTCACTCGATGCTGGCTTCGGGGCGGAGGACGATCGGGATGGGCGGAACGAATCATGATTGACGGGTCGGACATGAAGGAGGCGTCGAGAGTCCGAAAATAAAAAAGCAGTCACGCGACTGTGTAATGCAAGTTTGCCTATCAAGTACCGATCATGCAGGATGTGCAACGCAGTGAATGGCGAGAGAGAAAAACAAACTACCGTGCAAGGATCATCGGGTGGGTGAGCATATGTGCTGGCCGCTGGCGGGTGGGATAAGGCGGACGGGATGATGCGCAAAGTAAGCCCAGCCGGAATCTGCGGAATGGACAGGATTCTCGAACGAGCGAATGGCGGGAGGGAGCGGAGTGAGCCCCATCACCCATCGTACAAGAATGTGTGCGGAAGTCGAATGGATCGCGCGCGTATTAGCAACATCGGTCAGTCCCAATGCCACCGGGCCAGTCGTGGTGAGGGTGCAGGTATTCCCAGGGCTTCCGCTCCGTCCGGCATCTTCGGAGACCAGGAACTTCGGGTCTGACTGTGATGTAAGCGGGAATTGCATGACGGACGCGCTCGGCTGCCCAACGTTCTTTTCCTCCATTCCGTGTTTATAAGTGCTTTTTGGCCGCCAAAGTAAGATATTCCAAGAAAGGCTGTTTCCCATTTTCCATCGCATCTTGAAACATTATCACGCGGTCTGCGCTTTGTGGTGGAAGAGCCCCTCGCGCAACTGTTGGCCCACGACATATATCAACGCCACCCGACGAACTGTTCATCCTGAAGGCCCAGCACTAGGAGCAAGCCACTTGACTTGCTTGTTTATTTCCGAGTCACTCATATCTCGTACCCAAACAGCAACGGCCTCGATACACCCTAGGAGGTGCATCGCCGCGGTGCATCTTTGAGCTGACATCTACCGGCTGAAAATAAGGCAAAGAACAGGCCCAGAGGTGAACGCTACCTACCGCCAGGAACCCACGAGGAAGAAAACCCCACTGTCAAGATCTGCTTTGACGTCTTGTCGGGTTGTGCGTGCTTCATCCATCGAGACGGTCTCACGGGAACGAGACGACGGAAGAAGAAAAATTAAGGATCGAAACGACGGCCCGCACGAAAAAAACACTGTTTCTGACGTGCATTCCTCCTGGCACGTGGTCGACAGCGTCTACCTTGCTGTCAGTCATCAGATAACGAGAAAAGAAGAAAGACAGAGGTTGAGGTGTGTGAAGTCATTCCACCTTAATACCCGTCGGCTTCATCGGGACAAGCTTGGCCCCGGCCATTCTCCGTCGAATTGAGGCTTTGTCCTTCCGGCAGGGCTGTTCCACTAGCGGATCGAAACGACATACGATCGTTGATTGGTCAATCTCGTTATCAATCAAGTTGGGAATTTCAGTAATGCCGCTCCCCGAGATCTTCAAGCTGAACCCCGGCTCGCCGGCCAGGGTTTGGCGCTGGAGCTCGGGACGTCCCCAGCCTGGGACACGGATTGATGACATCGAGCAACCGAGCACTCCGCCCGCCAGAGGCGGTGTCTACTTCCCAAGCTTAGACGACTCTGCGACAACCGACAATGGAGCTTCCGCCGGCAGTTGCTTCCGAAAGAGATCTTCAACTTCATCAAACTCATCATCAGCGTCAAACTATCCGTCAAAATCTCGATTGAGACCACTCTTCCACCTAGGCTTTTTCAGGTTATCGCAGTTCAGGATGTTCCTCATTCTGACCCTCGTCTTCCTAGGAGGCTATGTGCACTACCTATGGAAGGCCGAGGCCGCTCTCGGCGTCCCATGGTCCCCCGATCCTGAGACCAGGCTCTTCGCCCAACGGCCCCTCATGGCCCCGATCAAGGAGACGAGCATCGACACATACACACTACCTCTTCACACCAAAGGCCGCGATGTCGTCGACGAAGAGGGCCGCCGCTTCAAGCTGTTGTCCGTCAATTGGTACGGCGCCAGCGATGAGCTCAACATCCCCAGCGGGCTCGACGTCCAACACCGCGACACCATCGCCCAGACCATCAAGGGCCTGGGTTTCAACAGCGTCCGTCTGCCGTACAGCGACGAGATGGTCATCACCGACCCGCCCATCCCCGCCGAGCTCCTCTCCGCGAACCCGGACCTCGTCGGAATGCACGCGCTCGACGTCTTCGAGGCGTGCGTCACGGCGCTGACGGACGCCGGCATCGCCGTCATCGTCAACAACCACATCACCCACTCGACCTGGTGCTGCGGCGCCGACCCCTGCGACGCCCACTGGGCCAACGACCACCTCGGCCCGCTGTGCCGCATCAAGCAGACCGAGGAGGACTGGATACAGCACTGGGAGAAGATCATGCTCCGCCTCGTCGACAACCCCCGCGTCATCGGGGTCGACCTGCGCAACGAGGTCCGCGGTCTCTGGGGCACCATGTCCTGGGATAAGTGGGCCACCGCCGCCGAGAAGGCGGGCAACAGGCTGCTGGAGATGAACAAGAACTGGCTCGTCATCGTCGGCGGCACCGAGTCCGGGAATGACCTCCGTGGCGTCGCCAACCGGCCCGTCGTGCTCAACGTCCCCGACCGTGTGGTGTACTCGGCGCACGTGTACGCCTGGTCGGGCTGGGGCAGCGTGGAGGGTCGGTACTCGAAGCGCGGCTACGCCTCGTTCGTCAAGGCGATGCGACAGAACTGGGCGTACCTCGTCGAGGGCGACCAGGCGCCCGTGTGGGTGGGCGAGTTCGGCGCGCCGCACCTCCCTAGCATGGGCGACGCGAATTACTGGAACAACCTCCTGCGGTACCTCAAGGTCATCGACGCTGACTTCGGATACTGGGCCGTCAACCCCCGCAAGCCACACGAGAACACAAAGGAGACGTACTCCCTCGTGGAGGACGATTGGGTCACGCCTGTGCTGGACTACCGCATGAAGGACATGGTCGAGATCATGAGGGCATAGAGTGCGCCGCAGTTCTGGCTGGAGGACCAATGCTCGACCGAACAACGGCTCGATGAGCTGTTGAGCTCGGTATGCATTTGAAGGCTTTTGTTTTTCCTTTTTTGACTATACTACAACGGCGTTTGGAAATGGGGTGGTATTGGTTATTGGACGAGGTGCCAGCTTCGGATACCCGGCTACCTACGGTCAGGCACGAGCTAGACGGTCATTGACGAATTGTCAAGCTTGATGATTTTGATTTTGCGAGCTTTACTGTATGCAATTGGATTCATGATCACGAAGTTTGAGAAGAAGCTATGATGCCTCGGCTATTTGTGTCAATGCGTGCTCAGACCGCGGGAATATCGTCCCGGTTACTCATTGAAGTAATCTGATGGGCGCATAGAAGAGTTACTTGATGCCTTGAACAAGTCCATCGCGAAGCGACCCTCCATCCACATTCCCGGGCTCATCGTCGTCCCCCACAAGCGATCCGCTGAAACAAACGACCCCTCCTCTCCAAACGGCACTCCGCAGGGACCAGCAGGGTGTCGAAGCTCACTGCACCTAAGCTCCTTATCGATAAAGCACGTCCCGAAGACCCACCCTCTTATCGATAAGCAAACCGAAGTGGTGTAACCCCCCTCCAACCAGTCTGTGGGAATGCACCTGGACGGCCGGATGCCATGACAAACAGGCCGAATATGAATAGCGGGAGACGCAATCCCGCCCACCACATCTGATTTTTCATCCGCATTTCTTGTCAGCACCTGACGGGACCTCCCTCTAGCGGAAGAAGGTCTCCCCCGGACACATCGACATTACCCAAGCGCTTATGTCGCGCTCGAAGCGAAAGAGAGGACAGAACTACTCCGAGGAGTAAGTCCATGGCGAGCCATCAGGGACAGAACCACGATCGCGGTTTCCGCGAGGCGGTGCTGGGGAGATGCTTTGTGCAGACCGGCACGGAGCGGGTACGTCTCGCCCTTTCTCGTTCTGTATTGCTGCGGTCTTTGCTTAGAGCCTTTGGTAGTGCTCTACCTAACATGCGCCTGGTGCTGACTTGCTGGCCCTGACAGTTTGGCGATGGAGCCCACGACATCATACGACAGCGCGAGCGCGACCACCTCAACCACATAGAGACCGATGTCCTCGCCCAAGGAGTGCCCGTCGGCCAGATATACACGGGCGCGCCGCAAGATGGACGTGACGCCCAGGAGCCGTCGCTGGAGAAGCTCATCCCGAAGATGCCGTACTACAGGAATAATTGCACGGCGCTTTCGCAGCGATACAACGTTGGTGTCTCCCCAAACCACATCACGTCAAACGTGCATCGGACTAAACTGAGAATTACTCGCAGCTGTACTTCGCGGCGTACGAAAACCGGATATTCGTCTACCGGCCGAAAAGCGTACCGAAGCAGGCCCTCCCTCGAGAACCGAACCTGATCCTGGCGACGAAACCGGACACGGTCGCTAAACACGTCTCCGGTACGCTCGACGGCAGATTTCACCACCAGTCGAACGCCATCGCGACTGGGTTTCTTGGGAGAGAGGAGGTTTTGGTGTCGGTGTACGACGATGGGTCTGTCTTTGCGTGGTATATCCGACCCATGGCGGAATACGTCGACCACGCATCTTCAGACTGCCACTGCAAATTCCCCATCCCGACACATTTCTTCTCCGACAATGTTGGCAAGTCGGCATGGGGTATAGCGGTGCATCAGAAATCGCGCCTCATCGCGATTAGCTCCAACAGATTTGAAGTCACAGTCTTCGCCTTTGGACTATCGCGCCTTCCGGAGGCCATGGAACGTCGGTCCAGGCCGCTGGACTACTGCGAGAGCTCCGTGTTGAAGAGGAAACGGAACTGGAGGATTGTTGTACCCTTGGGCGACGGGGGCCACAACATCCCCAACGTTGCCCTCTGGGACGACGACGAGGGTTTCGCGGAGAAGGTCGTGGCCATCGATATCAACGGTACCGTCTGGGTCATGGACATCTGGAAGGTCGGGACGGCGGCGGTGAGGATTCCGCACCGGGCTAATCTACCTGGCCAATGGAACTTTCGCAATCCAATGTAGGTTTGCTGAGCGACTCCGGGTTACCAAGTACTGACGCGCAACAGGGGTTGGGGTGTGGCCGTTCTACCATATGAGAGCTTTTTGACCGCGTACAACGCCACCGATCTGTTGGGCTTGAGAGAATCGGAGATCATGAACGCAAAACCTCCCCATACCGGGCGATGGATCGAGGTCCAGAGGGGCCTTCCCAACATCCGCAACCATCCGACCGAAATGTCCGCTCGAGATGTGCCAGAACCAGAGGCGTTTCATGCTACCTTACACATGCAAAATGGAGTGACATGGAACCAGTTCCAATTCATGCAAAACCTCATGGCCCAGAGCCTCGCGCAGCAGCCTCCACCACCGCCAGCGCAAACTCCTCCTCAGACGCAGTGGGAAGCACAAATTGCTGCGGCGACGACCGAACAGATTATGGAGGCTGCTACTATTCCGGAGTGGGCCGAGGAGAGCGATGCAGGAACGGACGACGAGCCGGTCGCGGCTGCTGCCGACGGTCCTGGTCCGTCATGGGAAGCGCAAATTGCTGCAGCAACGTCCGAAGATCTGGCAGCGGCTGCTGCCGACGGTCCTTTCTACCAGCAGGAGGATGATACCTCCAGCGAGGAAGACGTCATATTGACGCTTGCGGAAGACAATACCAATGGAGCGCCGTTGGTGTCCTCACCCTCCGTGGAAACCGACGATGATGACGCCAGCTCCTTCGGGCAGCCTTTTCTTAACGAAAACCAACCACCCGCCCTCAATGGCCCTCTAGAACAGCTCGACCTCGACCCGGAAGAGAATGATTACATCTTCATAGAAGAAGCAGTCGGCGCAGCTTACGAAAGTATGGGCCCCGTAGACGCATTGACGCAGGTGCTGCCGCCCGACGGAACTTGCAACTTCATCAAGTCGGCGTCGGGCGCGCGCAGCAACGGCCTGTTCCAGCAATCGTCCTGGCTTGACATGGTCTACTTCCCTCACAGCGGTAAGACCTACGTGGCGCCGACTACGGTCGTGGGGAGGCTGCAGTTCCACCGCAGAGACCGGATCAGGAATCGTAACACGACCGAGCAGGATAGGGAGGTCCTCGAGGAGCTCGGCCGCCGGTGCTGCATCTTGCGGACGTACGAGCACGACATTGAGATGCGGAGCATCATTGAAGACGACGGCGCCGCGGTCTTCTGTCGCGACCCGATCAGCTGGAAGCAGCCGCGTAACCAACTCCTCCAGTACGCCGAGCGTCTCAACATGATTGTCCACGTACCCGAGCTTTCCCTCGTGGTCATCGGGTCGGCGATCGGGCGGGTTATGCTCCTGACACCGACGCGGTCGCCGTACGGCCTTGAAGGTAACGGCTTTACGGTCAAGAGCGGGTATCGCATCGACTGGGTTCTCCCGACTCGCGATGACGACGAGGAGGGGCGAAGGCCGCCGAGGGGTCTGTACGGTATCGCGGTTGGACCGGTGCCGGAGGGCGGCGCGCCGGGTTGTCTGCTGAGACCCGACAACGCGCCTGCGCCGTCGCCCGCGTTGAGGCGGTACCGGCTCATGCTGCACTACCGCGACCACAGGATCCTGAGTTATGACATTGGACGCGATGAGAGGGGCGAGCACCTACTCATCTTTTGATGTTTCCCCCTTTCGTTGAATCAGACATGTGTGACATACTGGGACTCGGAGGCGTCGTGAGTGTCATTGACGAAGGGATGAATGAGTGTTGACTGTATGGATATTGGGCACATGTAGTGATGGACATGGAATGGAAACACGGCGGCTTCAGTTTACGAAAACAGGGGTTTTTCTTTCATGGACATTATTGGCGTTTGGGGGTTTCTCTTCTGATACCCGGCCTTATGATTTCCCCCCTACAGCTTGGTTCAAAGTCGGGAGGTAGGGGTGGTTCGAGCAAGATAGCTAGGCCTTGAAGAATGCAGTCAAATTTGCACAATTATGGGATGTGCGTGGTGATGTAAGATGTTGTGGAGGAGTATGCGTTGGAAAGGTGTTTGTGGCTCTCTTCAGACAACGGGATGCAGTTAACCCATCAACAGTAGGATTAAATCTCCTAGCCAGGTTTCAGTGCAGTATAAATGAATCGCCACTCAAAGGGAATTTTGATTCCTTTTCCTCACGGCCATACCGACAAAATCCTTCTCCGGTGGAGCATGCCTCTCGGGCCTCTCTAGTTGATATCCCCCGCCGACCACCTCGTCCACAGCGACCTCATTCATGGCTGCTTTGTCTGCAGTTAAATCTCCCAAGCCTGACCCCAACTTGACTTTCGCGTATGCTGAAGCTGATACTCAAGGGGCGATGAAGGATAAGAGCCACGAAAGACGCTTATGCTGCCGTGGGTTCTTATCTGATATGGTATTCTTCGTTGGCCAGCAGAGTTCGCGGCAGTTTGCCTCGGTTGGGGAACACCACAGGATCTTCTGTCGATTATCCTCCAGGCAGAGAGAATCGATCTCAATAGGTCCTCGCTACGTTTACAGATAGTGGAGGCATGACGGATATTTACAACAGTATCATTATTAGCGTTGGGTAGGGGGCGGTGTAGATGTGTAGGTTTCGTGAGAGCTAAGCGGACGAGACGGTTTCTTTGGGGGCTTGTTGTATAAATGGCCGTGTTTCGGGTGTGATTCGATTTCGTCTCTGCGCGACGATGATCTTTAGTCTCGTCTGCATCTGATGGCGGACTTGCTTGAAGAGAGAAGTACTCGTTTTTGTTCTCGTTGCTGTTGCCATCGTCGTCGGCGGGGAGGATCGGAAGAGGGGTTCTGTTGCCTTTGAAGTGACCTCTGTAAACGGACCCGATACTTGAGGGACGATGCAGGATGAGGGTGATGGGTAGACGTCATCGTCAACATGCCAAACCCGGGGTTTGGGTTCGCTGCGGGCTTGGTGTTGGCAAGGTGGCCCAAAGGTTTCGTTGTCCTTGTGGTTGCTTGATACCGAATGGGTATGACTGCGGGCTACCTGTTGCCTGTTGTGTCTTTCTGGAATTTCAACCGGGCTTCTCGAGGTTTATATATGATTGAACCTCAAAGATCGACTTGGGGTAGACGTCTAGTAAGAACAACGCGTTGAATTCTCATTATTTAAAGGATGCACCGATGCTTCAGGCATGCCCTTGCTCATGAACACGATGAGCTGGATCTGAGGTTGCTGAGTAACCCCAATCACCATTCCCATCCTCCAACATCAGTCTAAGTCTCGTTGGAATCAGTCTGAGAGAAAAGTATCGGGCGACAGTTCATGATGAAGCGGGGTTGGTGAGCGTCTTGGCTGTAATGGGAACGGAATCATCAGAGGAAGATGGTGATGACGGGTGATACGAGTTGATTCTCGCGTGACTGTACTTGAACCCTCATCGCTCGTCTCATGAGAAACTAGAGACACGCTTACGCTTCATGTGAAGACTTGTAGGTGAAAGCAGTCAAACCCGTTCGAGCCATTGCCTTGCGCTTGTCCATCTGTTTTCTGTAGATTTCCGCTTTTTATTTCAATCATGAGGCAATGAGTTCGCTCCCACGTTAGTACGTATGCTCGTCTCATTCAGCGTGACGTCCGGGCCACGCAGGAAGGCGGCGTAAAACTGGATAATTTGTATAAAGGGTCAATGCGTTCATCATAATATACGCTCAAGCAAACTTGAGAAAGGCTTGTTGTCGCTGCGTGCAATAGTCTCCGACATGGAACATTGCTTTCGTCGCCCAAGTGGTGTTAGCTGCTCGCCCAGTGAGCCAGCCGATGGCCTCTGCAACGTCTCTTCCGTCCCTCGGTATTGGTTTATGATTTGGGTCATGGAATACTCAGCGGATGGATCAAATCGGTATCGGATCCATGATTTCAGCTGTAGATCTTCTTACGTCTGGGGATGTAGTCTGCTCGAGGACCCTAGGTGCTCGAACGAGACAGAGCCGTAGTAGACACTGTACCCGATAATTGGGCTCTTGCTGATCGTCCAGGGAGTCCACGATGAAGGCCCTTGTTTTGTAGTCACGTCTGGCGGAAAACACCACTCTCATGCGTGGGCGCCAAGTGCAGCCAGGAGGACATCGTAATACAGCGGCCGACAGACTTCACTTTTGGTGAGCAAACAGTCAGCTCAGATCTCACCATGCTGCTGCTACATAGTTGACTTCCTGCAACAGTGTTTATAGGTCGCACGTCAAATCTTATAAAGCTGGTGTTCATAATCGTCGCCCCAACACTGCCTCTCCAAATTTAACACACGCTGTGGCCTTATTTGATGTCAAAGTCCTTTTCTTGAGATGCCGAAGAAAGTACATCTGTTTTAGTCTTCAGCGTGAACTGGCATCTCGAGGCCCCAACTCTTCTTTGCTGTTATTGTATGTGACTTATTCAGTACCAACACAAACTCTAGCGGCGGATGATGTATCGGATTCGTCAAAAATCGGCTTTCAGGCTCAATGAAGGGGACCCGGCCACGGGGTATCTCCGTCTTGTTCCCCTTTTTAACCAGTGCTTTCTGCTGTTCTCTTTAAGCTGCTCGGCTTGGCTGTGGCGACAAGCTAGACGTTATGACTTCTTCGTTTTATACTTGGGAAGAAGCCCTCTGTCATCATGTTGATAACCTGTGACAACCCGCTTTCTACGGCAAGTTTTTGATTGTTCAGAAACGTTGCATGCCTCGCCGATGCTCAGAAGAGGACTCGGATTTATTGACATTCTCCTTGACTGCAGTTCAAAGAAGTCTCAGACTGACATGAACGTGCTGTGACATAGACTTACATGCGTCTCGGCTGAGCTCTACAGACGCGTTGTCTTGTATGGTATTATACCCGGTGGTTCTGGCTCTCCTCAGCCGGTCCAGAAAGAAGAGTGTAGGGCATGTAGTACATATATATACTTAACCCAAGCTTCGCCACTGCAAATTACTACGCAGCCAACGATCGGCTGGCGATGTGCTCCGTTTCATAGATCAATGGAGAGACTCATGGTGCGGATGACCAAGCCCTCTTGGTAAGCGTCAAGGTTGGTGACGAGCGGGACTAACATATCCCTCGTTTCTCCCTGACCACGAAATCCATCATCGTCAGTTTGTTATTACACCCCTATTCCACAGCGTCAGTCACACTCCTCGGCGCATGCACTTGAAAGCAGATCCCACAAGCTCTAACTATGAGGCCTTCTTAGAGCAACAGCGATAAGGTAGCTATGGATATAGCATAGATCGATTCCGAACGCAGGCCTCCGCGATCGAATCTCGCTTGAGATCACCAACCGTTTGAGGACATGCTTCACCGCCCTTTTCTACGTTTTTCTCTCCACAGCTCCACGTCGGCATACTGATTTCGACGCGTATCGCGTTTTAGCTGCAAGAGTTCAGGCATTCGGCCTGACTGTACGGTATCGACTTACTGTTGTTCCTACTCAATGTTTGTCGAACTTATGGTTATCTCCATTATTTAATATGTTGGTCTCCCGGGCTATTTAGGCCATATACCATTATCTCTAGCAGCAGCTTCTGTATCGGCAAGGGTGAATCCACCGCAGCCAGACACATGCGTCCTTTTTGATGCGTAAGGGTCTTGATGTGGATCAGTCGAGCAACCAAAGCTAACAAGGCAACTTGATTCTCCTGGTGGAAGTCAATCTCATCATATCGCATTCACGGTTGCTGTGTGTTTCGCTACGTTCCTACGGATGACGACGCCAGAAACGAGAGAAATCGAAATAAGCGACACGTATAACTCGGATAGCCAGCTTCAGGCCAGCACTTTCGCCCGCAGCATGGGCTACTTGGAGATATCCGTACCTCAGCGAATGTCGGAACATTCATAGTAGGTATTCGATTCTCATATTTAGATCGTAATTCAGACTCTCTTCCATTCAGAAACTTTGGGAAGCCAGGTTCATTGCCATATGTCGGCTTCAGCTGGCGCGATGAGAGCTCTGATGGCATCTTGCAGGTTTTCTTGTCGAGCCAGACTCACTTTCGTTCCACCAAAATGAGACCGTTCAAATTTTCTCAAGATAGTTGAGAATCGATACTGTCTGTTACTCTGGGCAATATTAGAGTACGATGAATTCCCCAGATCTTGGCAGTGAGAAATTTCCGAACAGTAGCTGAAAAGCCTCAGCTCAGCTTCGTGATCAAAGAACAAATTCAACACAATCATTTGTCAATCCGAACACTTTCCACGAACGCTGCAACTTTCAATACCACCGTCAAGAACGGACACAGTTGTTCTAGAAGCCAAAAGGAGAAGTCACGGAGACGCCGGCCCGAGCGGCGCCGCAGCGGTGGGGCAGCGTACTCCGGAAAAGGAGCGAAAGCCCCGATGTGGATCCCGTCTCCTTTGTGCGGGTCCCGCCGCTAAAGAAATGACATTTGGCTCTGACAAAGTGACCGGGGCGGTGATTGGCCCATCTGGTCGCTGATAAGGCTAAGGTTTAGTGCAGTTCGAAGGGCCGGGAACAGGGATTTTTCGCTTCGCTAGGGGTGCGTGTGGCCCAACGTGAGTGAGCTTCATGCTGATGCTGCCCAGGGACGTCATTTTGGGTTGCCCCCCAACTCTGGGTTCACAATTCCCACTGCGAGGGTTTCATATAGGACGGAGGCCGTCCGGACTGGGCGATGGTGAGATTCGCGAACATGG